AGGATGACTACCAAGAAGTCTGAGCAGCCAGGGATCAGGTTAGGAAAGCTAAAACCCAGGTAGAATTAGATCTAGCCAGAGACATAAAGGGGAAAAAGAAGAAATTCTACAGGTTTACCAGTGATAAAAGGAAGGCCAGGGAAGATGTGGACCCTTTCTGGATGGAAACTGGAGATGTGATCACGAGAGATACGGAGAAAGCTGATGTACTCAATGACTTCTTTGCCTCAGTCTTCACCAGCAAAGGCTCTATCCACACTGCCCAGGTTGCAGAAAGCGAAGGTAAAAACTGGGAAGGATCTGCCCACTGTAAATGAAGATTGACCACCTAAAGTGCACAAGTCCATGGGACCTGATGAGATTCATCCACAGGTTCTAAGGGAAACTGGCAGATGAAGCTGCCTAACTGCTGTCCATCTTATTTGAAAGGTCATGGTACTCTGGTGAAGTTCCCACTAGCTGGAGAAAAGGAAAAATAACCCCAATTTTCAAGAAGGGGGAAAAAAAGAAGATCCAGGGAACTACAGGCCACTCAGTCTTACCTCTGTGCCTGGCAAGATCACGGAGCAGATTTTCCAGGCCTTACTAGGGTACATGGAAAATAAAGATGATGTGATTAGTGGTAACCAATATGACTTTGGGAGTGTCAACTGATGAAAGATTTGAAGATGAACTAGCAATGTGCAGTTGCAGCCCAGAAGTCCAACTGTATCCTGGGTTGCATCAAGAGAATTGTCACCAGCAGGTCGATGGAGATGATTGCTCCTCTGCTCTGCTCTTATGAGCCTCCACCTGGAGTACTGCATCCAGTTCTGGGGCCTCAAACAGAAGGACATGGAGTTGTTGGAGCGGATTCAGAGGAGGATCATCAGAGGGCTGGAGCACCTCCCCTACAAGGATAGAGCTGGGGCTCTTCAGATTGTAGAAGAAGGCTCCTGTGATACCTTACAGTGAGATGCTGGTACCTGAAGAGGGCCTACAAGAAAGCTGGAGAGGGGCTTTTTAAGAGGGCATGGAGCAACAGGATGAAGGGAAATGGCTTCATACTGCAAGAGAGTAGATTTAGATTAGATATTAGGAAGAAATTCTTTACTGTTAGGGTGGTGAGACACTGGAGCAGGTTGCCCAGCATGGTTGTGGATACCCCTTCACTGGAGGCATTGAAGGACAGGCTGGGTGGGGCTTTGAGCAACCTGGTCAGTCGGAGGTGTCCCTGCCTATAGCAGGGTGGTTGGGATTAGATAACATGAACTATGATATGAAGTCATATGTGCTACCATAAACTAAGTGAAATTAACACAAGTGTATTAAAAGCATCTTGAATCCTGAAAATTTGGGGATTATGTAATAGATCAGTTATAGAGACCAATTAACATTAAGATAAAATGTTCTAAATAAAACTTCTGTCCAATTTTCATGCACCAACTGTATATTTAAGTGAATTGCAGCTGCCATTTTGTTTTTCAAAACTTCCTATTATTATGCTTCTGAGATGTCAAGAATTACTTTCAAACATTTCTCCGTTGCTGCTTAGCTCCTTTTCACACTCTCCTTGTCTTAATTCCAGTGCTCTTAGCCCAGTTTTTGTCTAGCTGGCACAGATCCCACAGTTATGTGAACACAGATCTGTTCATTGGATTTTAATGTTTTTCTGGAAAAAAAAAAAAAAACCTACATACTAAATATTGTTAAGATTGTAAGCAATGCTAACGTTTATTTGTTTGCACAGGATGCATGGCAGTGAACCACCACAAACCAAAGATGACCAAATACAAGACCCTGAGCATCAAGAGTGGTTTACTAAATACTTTTCTTTTTAAAGCAGGTAATTTACATACTCCTCAGATTTACCAGAAAAGCTGTTTGTTTTCTGCTAGGGAATGTTAATCTAATAAGTTCTGCAACAAAAAGTGTTGAAATAATTTCCAAGGATATTGTTAGGAACAACAGCACTCTCTTACATCTAATTATAATGGAATTACAGGCATAGATTTCAGCAAAATGCATTTTTTTAATAACCTCTGTTTAAAAAAAATAAAAAAAAAAGAAAAAGCAAAATTCTTAATACTGCTATGTAAAATTACTTTTTACTCAAGAGAATGTATCATTCCACAATTACATTAAATATTCATTTTGTCCTCTAATGTCCTGCTACAGACTCCAGTTGAAGATATTACTTCTAAGTAAGTGATTTCTCTAGGTTTATATGCTTGCTTCATCAGCTGTTTTTGCATAGTAATGTAATTTTGTTTTAAATTGGTTTCTTGTAAAGTTGTTTTATGCTGAGCAGCATGTGATACACATCTAAGAATAGCAAGTTTACAGCAAGCTGTTTTAAAAATGTTTTCTGCTTAGCTTAATGGACTGTTTTGTATAGCGTTGTCATGTAATGTTCCTGGTGCACTTCAACTTGTGTAACAGTCAGCCTGATGAATCAGGATAGTATGTAAGTGCGAACATTAAAACTTGCTTGTAAGTGACCAACTTTCATGGCTTAGCAAAATAGTGTTATGCTGAAGTGTGAGTCAGACTGAGGCACAGATTTCCAGATTTATGGGAACTGCATACATTGTCCCCATATTGCTCTGACACCCAGCAAAATGCCTCGTGGGTGAACAACTGAATTTATCAAGCCACACCAACCACCTTATTGCTGGGAGGAATGGTGCTATTCACAAAAAGGCACCCGTAAATAAAATAACATTCAGGTAATTCCTCAACAAACACAGGGAGAGGGAATTGTCCAACTAGCACTCTAGTGTTATACATTGGATAGCTCATCTGCAACTGCTGGAGGATTTGAATCCCATTTTACTCCTCAGCTACATGAAGAAATTAAGCACTTGCAGAGAGACATCCATCCATCCTAACAAGAACCTTTGTGTATATTTGCATCATACTAGCAAGATACAATCAGGGGAAAGCTAGGACCATCCTTTCCAGAAAGAACAGGATGTATTGTGGAAAGTACACTTCTACCAGAAAGCATTCTGAACAGGAACTCTATACTTTCAATTTAAATATAAAACCAAAGTGTTTTTTTTCTCCAAAAAAAGAGTATTTATTTAACTTAATTCTATCTTATCTGTTTATATTTGTAGTACAAATTACATTATACAAAAAAACAGATGAAGTAAAAAGACTATCAGGTTTTCATGTTTGCTTCATTGGAGCAGGAATGTTAGCAGATGCCTGTTCCAGGTATGCTAAGGGACCTTGGGGCATTTCTGCAGGTTTTTTGTGCTGTACGCTGATATCTTCCAGGACTTGTTGCCAGTGCCGCAGTTTACTCAAATGCTTCTGAATTAATGCTTCTTTTCTTTGTAATTCATTTCTTAACTCTGAAACATCCTGTGGGTGAAAAAAATAGGTATTAGTAAACAGGCAGCAATGCTAGGAGTAATAAAGAACCTTGCTTAACATACATCAAATTTTTAAGCTTGGCTTTTCAAGCTCATCTTAAAGGGATGCTTAAAAGTCCTTAAGTGACAAGTTCCTGCACATACACTAGGTTACCTATGTCAGAGCTTGGGAAGTAACCAGGAAGCACTTCTGTGCTGTGTGGGTGATAAAGGCTGCATAGTTTCCTTCTGTAGATTTACTCAAAAGGCCAATTGTGGGCTGTGTGCACCAGGGGACTCTGCTTGAACGGGGGTTGGACCTGAAAGTCTCCTGACGTCCCTTCCAACCAACCAACAGTTCTATGATCATTACTCTAGCAAAACCAAATTCATTTGTTTCTTCAGATGAATCAACATTATTTGCGCTCTGTTCTCCCCAGACCACCAGGCATCCTATCCCACTTCCTTAGATTTGTGCTGAGAGCTACACTGACAGCCAGGTTTTACCAACTTCAGGCACAGTGAGAAACCCAAAATTAGTGCAAATGAGGCAATTTACCTGCACTGCTGCGCACCATGTCTGGTCCAGCGCAACAAAGGTAAACCAATTTAGCATACCTCTTCAATTATAATTTAGCATACCTCTTTAATTACTTGTTCTGGTTTCTGGACAGACAGCTGCAGTCTTTTTTGTAGAAAAAAGCATTCCGTTTGCCTTGCAACATCCAGAAATTTCTGGATGCACTGATCCACACCTACAGGTAGAACAGCAACAGGGAAAGACAGAAAAGATTCTCAGAAAGCCACCGCAGGCCCCTGGTGACATTTGAGTGCATGCTGCTAAGTACACCTTTTGCTACACCATCTGGAATAAATCTTACACTCTTCTGGATGGGATTTCTGGCACACGGCAATAGCACAAGGCGTGTATTAACTCTCTGCATCAAACACTGCTTCGCAAATTCTCAGCACTTACCTTAAAGGTGCAAGAAAACATTTTTTCCCCGGTAGTTTTATCGTGTTTTCTATAATGATAAAGAGCGGTATAATAATCCGTGCACTGTGGCTGAACAAGAAACGTTGGCAGCAAGCCCAAGCGGCCGGCTCAGTGTAAGGCTCACAATACAGCGTACTGACAGGATGCTCCCCTTTCGCACCACGCCGCTACCAACGCTCTCCCACCCGCACACGTAACCCGAGCGCGCAGCCACAAAGCGGAGCTCGGCCACGCGCCGGGCCTCACCGGTGCGGATCTCCTCCTGGTCGGTGCCATTCACGTAGTCCTGGCTGACCAGCGAGGCGAAGCAGGCCTGCGGGGAGGGAAGCGCAGAGGTGAGGGCGCGGCGCTGGGCGGACCCCCGCCCCCCTCCTTTTCCCCCGGCGGGGGCGGCCCCGCCCCCCCCCCGGCACCTCGAAAGACGCTTCCAGCTCGTCCACCAGCGTGTTGTTGGGATTGCGGGGCCCCGTCGGAGGCGGGATGAGGCCGGCCGGCCCGACCCCGCCGGGAGGTCCGGGCGGCGGGGGTCCCGGCGGCTGGTTGGCGAACATCCCGCCCAGCGCGCCCGCCATGGCGCACGGCTGCTGGCTGCGGACCGCGCGTGCGCGCCGAGGCCGACGGCGGAGGCGGGCGGCTCCTCAGGGGCGTTCCTCGGACCCAGGCGGAGACGGGAGAAAGCGAAGGCGGCAGGCGGGCCTGCACGGCGGGAGTCCGCGCCCCCATCCCTGCCTTCCCCAGGTCCACAGGTAAGCGGAGGGTTTTTCGCCACTTTTCGCGTTTGAGTTTTGGTTTCCTCCCTGACGGCACCTCCCCCGTTCTCGAAACCAAAACCGCTATCCTACATCACGCCCAGTCTGCGTGACGCACCGCTGGTTCTGCAAGCATTGCCACAGCTCACAGGAGCACAACCACAGGTGAGGGCACCCCCAACACGCACAGCTCCACTTCCCCCTCCCCCCCCATCAGTTCTCTCTTAATCAAAACACACTGTGCAAGATTTATTGTTTACAAGAACTGTGCTTGCTTCATACATACAGTATTTCCCATGGTCACAGTCTGGTATTAAATACCTCAGGTAGGTCCAGCAGCGTATTTTTACTTTAAAGCTGTATAACAGAGGAAGAAAAGTCTCACAAGTGAGATGTTCTTGATTTATAAAATGTGCAGTTCATCACTTCTGTGAAAGTATGTCTGGGGCCCTCACTTACCCAGACTGCATTTTTTTTTCCTTAAGGCAGAGCGGATGATTTTAGAATGAACGTTTAAGCATTTTATTTGGGACTGTGACTGTCTTGGCTTAACCGAGCCGCAAACTCCACGAGCGTCCTGGTGGGGCGCCCAGCCATGCCCTTCCGCAGGTATGGCACCTCGTCCTTGTTGGCCATCACACCAGCAATGTCCAGGTGAGCCCAGTGAGGGGCCGTCACAAACTCCTTCAGGAAGGCAGCAGCCGTGCACGCTCCTCCAGCTCTGCAGGAAGCAGAAAGAGGGATCGTTTCTAAAGCAACACCGCCAGCCCAAGCGCTGGGCTGCAGGCTGCGAGGACAGGGTGCGAGAGATGGTGCAGCGTTACCTGCTGTACTTCCCAATGTTACTCAGGTCTGCGAGAGGGCAGTCTGTTACTTGTTTTGTGTAATGTTCAAAAAGAGGCATTCTCCACACTCGGTCTCCTGTCACGATGCTGGCCTGAAAAAGAAAAGGTGACACTGGGCAAAGTTCACTGCTCATTTTTGTGTGAGTGGGTTGCTGTTTTTTTCCTCTCCCTCCTGTTTTTAAACTGCATTTATAAGCACCAGCATTGTGCATTTTTATCCTTTTCTAACTTTGACCACTCTGTAAAATTTTCTATGGTCCAAAATAATGTCAGCTATTTGGAAATACACTGCAAACAAAACTGAATCCTATTTTGGTGGTGGTAATCAAAAAGCAAAATATAAAGAATACTTCTCTCCCCTATTAACATATTTTCCTGGTAATATACATTTTCACAGATCCTTCCCTTCAGAGACTCCCCATGTCCATCACACCTCAGGCACTTGCAAGGTGTGAATGTCTCTTTTGGTCTGGCTTTTAACAATACCAATTACCTTTTTAACAAAATCTAATCACTGTCAATAATCCAGAGCTTCTACACGTGCAGTATGTTGTCAAAGGGTGCCAACACCACTCAAAATCACGATGCATGCTTTGTGCTGTGTGATATAAATCCAGGAGGCAGCAATTAAGGGTCTTAATTATGTATTTTTCAATTAAATACAATACTAACACATTCCTACGAGATTTCAAATACAGTAACAATTAGATTTGTATCAGGTAAGACTTTCTTTAAAGAAAGTCACTAATTTTTTAGTAACAGCAGCTATTAACAAAATTATCATTTGATAATAATGCTGATGGCCTACCTCATAAAGGTGATTCCAAAGCCAAGATGAATTTGTGAACACTCCAGTTGCAGCAGACCCCAATGCAACATCCATGGCACCTATAGAAAGACAGCTTGAAATTTATACAACGAGTGCAAAGGTGGACTTTGCAGTTACATTAGTTAGACTTTGGAGTTATTACCCTGCGTACAGACTCCTCACAGTACTTCCTTTTCTAATTCTCACTACCAACGATTTCTGAAGTCCACAAGACCTACAGATTTTAGTGCACTTTCCCTCATTAAAAAAAAAAAAAAAAAAAATTAAAGTTGCTTAAAGGCTAAACTAATAGGACAAGAATTGATGAAAATTACATTCCAGATCTCATGAAATTTGACTGTTTTCAGCTTAATAGTAATATACCTAATCTAATGCATTCAGCAATAAGTCTTTTCTCAAAATAAAATTAAAAAAAAAAAACAAAAAACCACACCACTAAATGTTTACAATTTCTACATAGAAAATCAGACTTTTTCAAGTTTATGAACTCATCCAATTTTCTATCTGGTACTTTTCCTTCTGTGAACTTCACCCACAGCGGTTGTTGCACAGCATACACAAATTTAATTTAAATGACAGTAATCACATCAAAATAATAAACCACGCCTAAAGCAGAGAGATCGCATACACAGTTACTTTTTGGTTGTCACAGGTCTGCTTCTCTAACGCTGATGCTATTTCAGGCACTCAATCCCAGGGAGATTTAAAAAGCAAAATACTCAGTGTCAGAAATTTCTGCAGGAGCTGTCCTCCTTCCTGCCTGCTGCCAAAGGATCCCAAACAATACGCAGCCTGCAGTGGGAGAAGCCCATTTCTCCTATCATGGAAATACTTTTACACAAGTCAACCATCTTAAAATCAACATTGCTTCTCTCTATAAACATTTTCCAAACATTTGAACATGTTAAGCTTGAGGAACATGATTTAAAGCAGAGAGAGGTGATTATTTTTTCTCAGCTTGTTTATTAAGCAAAACAGTGGACTCTTATTTGATCTGTTCTTCCATATTTGCTCACATTTCAGCAACAATCTGTCATACCTGAAGTGACTGTAGCTATGATAGGTTGTTGCTGCAGTTCATGAGATGCATACACAGTGCTAATTTTTACGTTTAAAATTATAACTCCATTCGCATATAATTATTGAGAAGAAACAGAACATTTTATGTTTGCGACTATGCAAAACGCACATGAAATAAGAGATGTTTTAGGGGGAAGTTCTTTACAGAGAGAGTGGTGAGGTGCTGGAACAGGCTGCCCAGAGAGGCTGTGGATGCCCCGTCCCTGGAGGTGTTCAAGGCCAGGTTGGATGGGGCCCTGGGCAGCCTGGTCTAGTATAAAATGGGGAGGTTGGTGGCCCTGCATGTGGCAGGGGGGTTGGAGCTTCATGATCCTTGAAATCCCTTCCAACCCTGGCCATTCTGTGATGTTTCACTGAAGTGACTTCTTGAGAAGATGGTATTGATTCTCCTATTAGGTAGGATCATGGAGATTGAGATAGCTCAGGTAATGGAAGAAGTGGTGCTGCGTAGGTCAGAACGCAGGCACCCAGGAGGCTGTTCACAAAGAAGCTGTTTTGGCTTCAGCATGGCTAGTGCCAGAACTAGCAAAGTTTTCCACAGCTTCACCAGTATCTCTGCACCACATAGCCATCTCTGGGGGTTGAATGTGCTTAGGCAAGATGTTGAGTGACATAATTGCCTGCAATCTACTATTAAGCTCAGCCAGAAACAGAAGCATGGGAAAACTTTGTGCAGAAACATTCAAGTCTGCCTAAGTCCTCCTGGACTTACCCTTTCCAGCTCAGCTGGGCCAGGCCCAACTTCATCTACATTGCTTACTGTGCTCCATGCATGCCAATACCCCCAGTCTTGGAGACATGCTGCAGCTGTACAAGTTGTTAGAACAGAATTTGTGCAAGCTCTTGTCCTGCAGCATGCCAAGTCATCTCACCTGCTTTCAGCTTCAGGCTGTCTTTGTATGCATAGTACAACAAATTCACAGACCATTTAATATGAGAATATTTAATATGAGAATAACAAGAAGTTGGCTTCCAAAATGAAGCAGGGAAGGGTGACTGCTTACCTGTTAATGTTGCAGCATTCACAATAGCCCTTGCATTAAAATTGTGGGCATAACAGAGAGCATCAGCTAATAGCAGTCTTCCTTCTGCATCTGTGTTATCAACCTCCAGGTGGAAAAAAAAAATCAATAAAAAGAGATTAACTACTGAAAACACCCCATTAACCGACTTATTTTTCACACATTCTCTTAAACAGCTGTCAGATTGTGACTACAGTGTCACAAGCCCAAGGAAATTAATCAAAATTTACTCAGAGAAATATGGCTCATAGAAACTGTGAAGGAGAGGGATCCACAAGAATGCACAGATGTGTGCCAGGAAGTGCTTCCTTGTGAAACTGCTTTGTCTTTGAATCTTGAAACTTTTTTTCCTCTAAAGAAGAAAATAAAATCAGTAGCCCATGCATCTTTCTCCTTTCAGAGAAAGCTTATAATGAAATCTGCAAGATCAATTGCATGCGCTCTGACCCACTAGCTATTTCTTCTAGAGTTCTCCTTGCAGGAGGAATATGCATGCAGTCTTCTCCCTCCAAGCTGAATGCCACCAAACTCAGTACTGCAGAGAGAACCTCAAGGTCAAAACTTGAATCACAGAAATCCAGACAGAAATATTGAGTAAACCATCTTCTTCTGTACAAAGTCAGCAGTCTACTGCACAGTAACTTTCTGCACCATTTAATATATTGAATTAGTATAGCTTGGATTAAATATGAAATAATAGTATGGCAGTGTGCTTTCAATTGACAGATCTTATGATGTTCTGCTTGTACAGAGCAGCTGACATGGTAAAGACCTTAATTATATCAACAGGGAACTAGTACACTTACATCTTACTCCAGACAGCAGGTGACTGTCCTCAAAGGTGTGCCAGAAGCAAGTTGTGTTTCTCATTCTGAGAGCCCATGTTTATAAGCATTGTTGCAGCCTCTTGAGCTGACAATATTTTCTGGCATGTTCATTGTTACCATACTTTCCAGTTTTTATTAGGGATTTGTAGAATATGTCTAACCTCTTCAAATATGTTTAAATATGTTTGAAAAAAGCCTGTGATTGCAATTCCTAATTAATAACATACATTTGTAAATAACTTACATTTGCATTGCATATCCTCTGACTACAGTCATGCAACCGATTGAACCAATTCACTCAGAGTACTCAAAAATCCAAGTTTCATAGGCATACCTGGATTGTTTTTCCATTCTTGGCTCTAACGACATCCCCAGGCTTGTTTGCCTTACCACT